ATTACATTCAGTCACTTATATTCAATTTATTAGCGAAATTTATATAAACTAAAGGCTAACAAAACCATTAAATCATTGATTATAATTATAAACATTATTACAAAATTAGCGAAAAATTACACAATTTATTAAAAACAGTGATAATTGATTGAGTGTTTAGTATTTGACATTCAAATCAAATAGAAAATAGATTTGGATGTAAAGCGTGAAACATAGGGTTCACTGAATGCTTAAATACACACAATTTAATTATCTATTGATTACACGCTTAATAACAATAACTAATTGACAATAAGTATTACACAATCACTACAACAACAGACATGGGATGACAATAAATATATAGTTTCTATGGGAGAAAAAACAACAAATACTGAATAAATTACTATTAATATGCAATTAAAATTTCGTTAAACTCTTAAAGTGAAAGAATTTATTATTAATTTTTACGTTTTTTGTTTTTGTTTTGTTTGCTGTCAGACATCACTCGACTGTAAATGAGTGAATGAAATGAAAGGCAAAGTTTGTGACCGAAAATTAGCTAAAAATATTAAGAATAAAAAACAACAAAATATTTAATTAAATAATAAGTAAAATGATTATTAAAGGAAATGAATGACAAACATGAAGTTCAAACATACTTTAATAGCTCGTTCATTGGGAGTGGCGGGTTGTGTGTGTATTTTACCTGTTATTTGCATTAAATTACCAGGGAAATTTCCAGTAGAATTATATTTTTACCACTTTACCCTGAATAGTATAGTCCATATGCACTATATCTAGTACTTTAAGTGAATGAGGATATTTTATGGAAACTTTTTAAATTGTGTAAATTCCCAAAACTTTGCATATATTTTTATCATGTTGTTATACATAAAGCCATTGATTATATAAATGATATTAATTTTGAGTCGAAATGTTAGCACTTTTTATAAATAGTTAAATGTATTGATTAAAAGATAGTTATGATTGAATCTCACGCACAATATTAGCGTCAGTTTTTACAACAGACTTTATAACAAATTATATAAAATTAAGACTAGAAAACAAAAACAAAATATAAGTTTGAAATAAAACATTAATAACGAGAAAAGTAAATAAATGATACAATTTGATGGTCAAAATGAATGGCTCGGGAAGTGTGGGGTCTATAGAAATCTATGTGCAAAATAATATGTGTTTATTCAGTGCATTGACTGTTAATGATTGGCAAACATTGAGTATATTATATAAAGTGGAGAAAAGCAACAAAACAACCAAAATTATATTATCGTGTCTGAGATGAACAGATCAATCAAATCGCATATATATTAAGATAATAATACATATTTGCCATAAAATTTTGGTCAGAAATTATAAAATACATTTTTAAATACCATTAAAAGGTTAAACGCATCCAACAGTACTGTATAATTACGGCCAAACATTAAATACTAATAATTCATAATCTCATATAAAATAGTCTATAATTTGAATTAATTTTTCTCAGAAGAGAAGCAATTTTTGGTGAATTTTATATATTAATCAGAAATTTAAAAAAAATATTTATTTATGATTTAAAAAACAAAATAAGAGAAGAAAAAATTGTTTATTGCAAATAATATACAATTTTTTAGAAATACAAGTTATATTAATAGCCAGTTATTAAATGTATGACTATATGTATAGTATTTTTTTTATAAAAACATTAAATTTTATGCCAAAAGTGTGTTTCACATTAAATAGTAATTATATTTCACTTTACTCTATGTTAGGAATCATTAATTTTTATAACTCTTTACACATTTTATGGCATTTTGAGAGAGAGAGAGAGAGGGAGAGGGAGAGAAGCAAATAGAAAAAAGTCAATTATTCTGTCGTTTAATTGCTATTCACGTTATAATCCATTTTGCGAGACGTTATCTAAAGCTATGACTTAATATGGGATATGAATTAATATTTTTTATAAACCATACCATTTAATGCTATGATTTTATTTCTATCTCATTTTAATTGCAATTAAAATAATCTCTTTATAAATATAATTAATTTTTTTGTCATTTATTTGATAAATTTTCCACCAAATAGTTTTTACTCTTAATTTCAGAGAAAATTATTGAATTTTTTTGTGAATTTTTAACCGTTTTATGAATCGTTTGTTTACTGATATTAATTGAAGGCTAAACCTTATGAACTGTTTTCAATTCAAGCGTAATGTAATTTGTGGCCAATAATCCCTAATCTGATTCTTGGTTTAATTTATTAATTAATTGTATTTTAAATGATTATCCGTTTGCTTATTGATTATAACAGTTAATTAAATCATACGAGATATGAATAGATAATGAGTTTACTATCTGTTTGTTTAAAACAAACACTTCTTAAACATATAATTATTGATAAACAAAATGAAATGCAAATCAAATATATTGATAAATATATTTTTAAAAATATATTATAAAATAATTTCACAATAATTTTGTAATAATTAGAGAGAAAATGTATATAAAAACAAAAACAATTTAGAAATTAATTATAAATGGTTATGAAATTTCTCTCCTATAATAAATGATTAGCAGTTTATTAAAATACTTTATATAATAATATATAAACTTTATTTTTATTACATAAAACTTTTACGATAAAAGCAAATAAATTATTAACAAATTTTATGAATAATTTAAATACTAATTACACATAATATAATATATTTAATATATGACACTATTATAATAAATCATACATTAAGATAGAAATTAATGGCTATAATCGGGGAAAGTTTCGCTCTTATATTGTTTTATTAACAACAAAAATATATTTATATTAAATGTGTTTATGATTTAAATCATTAATTGCTTAACAAATATGAAATCATATTAAAAATTTATGAGTCATTTAAACATATTATACACAAAACAATCCATACGTTAAGGTATTTGTGATTTATTAGAAAAATATCTGGACTTTTGCCATACCATCGAGAAATTGGGATTTTTTCAATAGTAAACATAATTTATTATTTATTTAAATTATATCTAAATATTTCAAATTTATTATCTTTGACTAAATTGTCTAATGATTTAAATTTTAAAATCATTTTATAATAAAAACAAATTAATTAATTAATTTTTAGTGCATTTTTAATTAAATCCAATTTCCAAATAATTTTGATAAGTATGTTAATTGGAAATTAGTATCATATTTAGTACACATCATAAATAAAAATGTATTTGAATGACATTGCAAATTGAACATGTTAAGTATTGTATACTATGCTAATCTAATATCAAAAAAGTACAGTAAAAGACCGCATAATGTTTTAATAGTATGCTTAACAACAAAAACATACAATTAGTCAAAACAAGAAATCCGCTAAAATATTATTAGAAATATGCAATAAATGTTTTTATGTAATATTATTTCTAATTCCCAATGAGTACTGTATATCATAATTAATAGGTGTACTAATAGTGAGTACATGTTATACACCAAGACTTAGGTCTAATGATAATCACATTTGACTGAAATAATGTTAAAATATATACTAAATACATAATACATAACAACTACATAACAACTATATGTAAAAAACAAAATCTATTTTTCATTATTTAATCCGAAAATGATTTTCTAAATTCTCTCCCCATTTGGTTAGCATTCAGTCCTTATTTAACGTCAAACCAAACATAATATGCAAATAATCTTCTAATATATGTTATTATGTGTTTCGGGAGACCAGAAATTTGTTTGTCATTAGCTGTTAGTTATTATTATAGATATTAAGTGACAGAAACGCAAGGAATTTATAATGAGATGTGATGTGACTTTTTCTTTCTTCTTCGTCTCCTTTCCCCTCATTTCTCCTCTTAATTACGGTTTCATTTGATTTGAAAGACAGAGAAAATTGTTTTTTCTTCACTTTCCCTTTCAATTATGCCTATTATAAGGAAACACTATTTAATAATAGTAATGTTTACTGTTTTAAAAATATATATTTCCCACAAAAATATTTTTATAGGACTTTATTATTATCTGTTTGAAGACAACCTCAATATTTTAAGTGATATTTTTAAAATTATATATTAAATACAAATTGTTTTACTAAATAAATACTTTATTGATAAAGATTTTGTAATTTTTAGTATATTTAACATTTCTTTGTTACAATATTTTGATAAACAAAATATTTAAATGTATTTTATAGTGCATATAAATAAGCAAAAATTTTTAATTTAGGCATATTTTAGTTAAATAAAAAATAAGTTATAATACTATACAAAATTAACTAAAATTTAAAATAAATCAGAAAATTATTAATTAGTTGCAAAACTTTACAATAATCCCATGAATATTCATTGAGCCCCAGATTATTATAAACGATGTTTTATGTAATACTAATGATTAAAATCAACTTTTTTTGTAATTAAAGATAAAATAATTTTCAGAAATTACAATTTCTCACCAAATCTTAGTTCATATGCATATGAATTGATTTTTATAACATTACGATAAGCCGTTGAAATTGCCGTAAAGTAAATGTGTTGTGTCTTATCGATGGAGAGAAATGTCTGTTTGAAAGAAACTAATTGTCAAACATATAGTGATAATACTTTTTCATAGATAAATGTGATTTCAATTATCGGAAAAAATTATCTCATATTTTTGAATGTGTTTCACATATCGTTTAAAATTAGATTTTATCCTTTCGTTAAAATATTGTTTAAATGTGTTTTTCTGAATTAATTTTAATATAATTGAAGTTTTTAATTAATACGTCAATCAAATATAATCTTTTGATTTAAACAATTTTGCAATTTTCTTCATAAAAACAATTTTTCATAAGTTTTTAAAATTGTAAAAACATTGAATTTTTAATAAATCAATACTACAGTATATTATTTGAATTGAAAAACACATAATAAATAATTTATATTTAATTTTAAACGCTTATTGAAAATGACAACAAAACAGTATTAATAACAAAAACAATTATTTTTAAATATTTGACAATAGATTACAAGATGTTGTCGTCAAAGAGTCCGGACATATGCTGTCAGCCGTCGTTCAATGGGTACCGGAAGCCGAAGCGGATCCGCACGGCTTTCAGTCCGGGACAGCTGTTAAGGTTGGAGGAGATCTTTGAGCGCAACCGATATGTCGTCGGCTGTGAGCGGAAACAATTGGCCAGAGATCTGAACTTAAGTGAGACTCAAATCAAAGTGTGGTTTCAAAACCGGCGGACAAAACACAAGCGCGAAAAGCATCAGCAAAACGGTTCGGGCAAACGCTCGTCCACTGTCTCGGCCCTCATTCACGGCTATTCACCCAATGGTCTGTCCCTTAATGGCGGCCAATATAGCGATAATGATGTCGACGATGACGACGAGGAAGACTTTGTTCATTAGGTTTTATGGGCTTTTTGTGAATCAAAAATACAATATTCCTATAGTTTTCGGACACATATCTCTCGCATTCATCGCCAGAATTATTATTTTTTAATTTTATTATTATCTCTCTTTTGCTCACAATTTATTTGTAAATATTTAATGACATGAATATTAATATTTCCTTTTCGTATTCAAAATTCATATATATTTTAGATAATAATTTTGAGAATATGTTTAGATATTTTACGAAAGATGAAAAATAACAGCAAATGTTTAATAATTATTATCACTTAATATATAGTTTTTTATTCGTTTAGAAAAAAATTAATGTCAAGTACTTTATAAACAATAATATAATAATAAAAACATATAAATATAAAGATATTTTTGTTTTAAAAAGCAAATTTCCTTTAAAACAATATTCATAACTAATACAAAACAATAGGAATATTGAGTATATTTAAGACTGATTTCCCATTAATATAAAAATTTTGATTTTTTGTTTATTTTTCTTCACATAAATTTGTGAATTTTGTATAAATTTTTAACATTTTGTTTCTCCGATAACTATTATCACTCAATAGTTATTCAGTTATCATTTCAAATGACTTTAATTTTGGATTTTCTTTGTTTTTATAATTTTTATATAATAACGAAATATTTATTTTTTAAAAATATTATTTAAAATTGTAATTAAGGAAAAGTGGAATAAAATATTTTTCAAATAAAAACAATTAATTTAAAAATGAAATATTTGTCACTTTATTTTTATAATAAAAATTTATATCAATTTGTTTAATTTAATAATTATGTCAAATGGATTATTAATAAATTAATGAACAAATTATAATAAATGATAATTATCCAGGCCATCATCAATAATGCATTTAACTAATTAAACATATATTAAATAAAATATTATAGTTTAATGTAACTTAATGTTTATGGCGTAAGAAAAATTATTACATTTGCGATACTTTAATACACTTAAAACAATTATTAAGTTTTATTAGTTGTTTACAATATTAACCGAAATACAACTACAGTATAATAATTAATTATTGCAAACATTATACTTATGGCAATATTTAACACACAATTGATTAGTGTTTAAGGAAAATTAAATTTAATAAGCCAAAATGTTATTTCTTATTGAATTGCGAATAGAAACAAGGTATTTAAGGTACATTTGTTTTTAGTTATTGCAAGGTTCCAGTATTACATTGTAGTTTGATTTAATAAGTAATATGTAAAAGAATTATTTGCAAAATTACATTGGTATAATAGTTCAATTATCACAAGTTGTTTTAAACTAAAATTTATTTTTACTTTTACTTATTTTGGTCATACCGTATGCATTAGGAGTTTGTAATAACGGGTTAATTCAAACATTTTATCATTTATTATTATTTACATTACATTAAATGCTATGATATAATTGTGTGAATTATGGGATATGTTGTAATAATGTCATTTCTCAGAATTATTACCATATTTAAACAGATTACATTTTTATGCAAATTAAAAGAGTTAATAACAAATTTAAATAAATAGACATTAATAATAGTATACATATTACTGACAAATAATATTAAAAATACAATAATTAATGTCTTTTATGAAAATAATTAGCATTAAAATTGAATTAAAAAATTTTATGATTTTATTTTCAATGAAAAAATTGTTTTAATTCTCGCGTAAATTCAAGATTGGGTTTTGAAAATGTATTAAATTTTTTTCAAACATCTATCATATGAATTGAGAAGACTTTTTGTGTAGAAATCACACGTAATTAGTCTACAAAAGTGTTTTACTTTATATTTTTGGTCATAAATTGTTTAATTAATGGCAGAGAAAAGTCTCTCAACTTAACAACGAGAGAGAAATTTGAATGAGAAAAAAGTCAATTAAATCATAATAATTATTATAACATAATTTAAATGCCTTTTCGTATGCGAAAGTGATTGTGTGTCAAAATATACTAAATTATAATAAACGTATAATTACTGTATAATAAAATATATATTTAAAAAATAATAATTTTACTTTTTTTTGTTTTGGCAAAAAAGTTATAAATTATAAGTTATAAACTAAACACGGTATAAAAGAAAAACAAAAAATTTTGAACGAAATATAATTATATCGCCTTTTATTTGGATAATAATATACACTCGAGAGAGAGAGAGAGAGAGAGAGAGAGAGAGAGTTTAGAGTAGTTTATAGATCAATTAATTTGAATATTTGTAAAATAAATATTGAGAGCAATAATAACCCAATTTTTATTCACTTTTCTGTTTGGCATCAGAATTGATGACTTAAACTAATAATTATTATAATAATAGTTATAACGATAATAATGTGTAGTAATAATAATATTACGATAATAACAACAATTACACATTTATATACAATTGCTGTACATATAAAATATAGTATTCGTGAATAAATAATAAAAAAAACTAGAAAAATAGGATATATTGTCAGTAAATGTATGTTAATTTGTTGTTAACTGTATTTATATATTAGATTACCATTAAATGGGTGTAAAGGTTCTGACAAAGTATGCAAATAATTGATATTTTAATTTATATAAAAAACACGAAATACGGTCTCAACAATGAGAACCCAGACATTCATGTAATATATATCAGAGTCTGTGATAATAAACGATTCTTTGGTCAATGCTTTTGAGCGATACTATTATTAATTCAATTAGTGTTTTACATTCAGACATTTCAAAAACTAATTAATCTCATTAAACATTGAGTGCGATCAGATATTGTTTACCAAGTATAGTACTTTTGTCATTTTATAACTATTAATATAAATAATTAGTCCGTCTATATTTATAAATAAAACACTACATGTATATGAAATCATTGTTCTCTTACCATAATTAGAATATTCTGTAATTATTGGAGATAGTTTTTTTAGCTCATTGTTTTAAGTGATATACAATACAACCACTAATTACATATACACATGTAGACAATGTGTATATATAGTGTATTTATATATGCATATATTGTATATAAAGTACACAATATTAATTAGCCAGGTCGTATTCACTGGTATATGAACGGGGAGTACATTATGGGGAACGGCCTAAACGAGTGACGAAAGCCACAGCTCTAGTGAGAGAGTGTGTGTGAAAAATGCATTGCATATGCATTGAAGGGGACGACTGACTGCCAGCGCTCTCGCAGAGTACAGCTAAACGCGTGGAAAGCATTTTCACTCAAAAACACCTAAACTTATACATACAGTCATTTGATGTGCTTTCCTCACAACCAGTGGTTACAGATCTCTCCTCTTCTTTTCGCTCTCCCATTGCGTGTGTTTTCACACCTTATGCTAAGAATTGAGGCATAAGTTTGTAATTACTTTTAGAGTATATACTATTACTTTTGATATTGTGCTTCAATACATATTCATTCACTTATTCACTGTTTTATTAATAATATTGTTTAAAACGTCGAACAGAACTAAAAGTTTGAAAAACTTTTACAAACAGTGAAAACTTTTTCCGTAATTTACGAGAAAAAAAAAGTTTTGTTTGAATCAAATTGTTTTAATCGGATTCTCGCGTTTGAGGCGTCAATTAATGAGAAATAATATCATAAACTAATAGATAAACTATTAATTGAACGACAAAACGATCGGCGAAAACGTCTAAATTGATTGTCTACATTATGGGGAACGGCCTAAACGAGTGACGAAAGCCACAGCTCTAGTGAGAGAGTGTGTGTGAAAAATGCATTGCATATGCATTGAAGGGGACGACTGACTGCCAGCGCTCTCGCAGAGTACAGCTCAACGCGTGGAAAGCGTTTTCACTCAAAACACCTCAACTTAAACATACAGTCATTTGATGTGCTTTCCTCACAACCAGTGGTTACAGATCTCTCCTCTTCTTTTCGCTCTCCCATTGCGTGTGTTTTTCACACCTTATGCTAAGAATTGAGCCATAAGTTTGTAATTACTTTTAGAGTATATACTATCACTTTTTGATATTGTGCTTCAATACATACAAAGTATTCATTCACTTATTCACTGTTTATTAATAATATTGTTTAAAACGGCGAACAGAACTAAAAGTTTGAAAAACTTTTGCAAACAGTGAAAACTTTTTCCGTAATTTCCGAAAAAAAAGTTTTGTTTTAATCAAATTGTTTTAATCGGATTCTCGCGTTTGAGGCGTCAATTAATGAGAAATAATATCATAAACTAATAGATAAACTATTAATTGAACGACAAAACGATCGGCGAAAACGTCTAAATTGATTGTCGGTTGTATTTGGAGCCAAATGTCAGAGTAATGATGCCTTGCGTTGCGAAAGAAACGAGTGATCATCTGATGAACGGCCCGTCCGTCCCGTCGGTGCCCGTCGTCGCCGATAAGCCTAAAAACATTTATAAACCCAAATATCACGCCTTTTCTATTGAATCTCTGGTCGGAAACAATGACAACAAGAATAGCAACAATAATAATAACAATAATGAGACAAACGATGAAAACGAGTCAACGGATGTGAAGCATAAGAAACAACGGGTGACACCACCGACACCTACAACAGCCCCTCCATCGCCCCCACAGACCCCCGACGGGCCGTCGCAGCCGTTAAACGGCCACAAAGTACTGAACGGCGACGACAGCGACAAAAGTGATGAATATGTCGATTACGGTAGTGTTAGGTCACCAAAAATGATGGGCAAAAACGGTATCTTAAGATCTTATATGACTACACATAACCAAAACCATGTCATTCACAATAATAATAATAATAATAATAATAACAACACTAGTCACGCCAATAATCATTTGGATTTCATTGCTTTCGCTCACAATAGCGATCGTAATAACGCGGAAAATCACACAATCCTTACTAATCATAATGTGATCACTCATACCAATCGATACAATGATAACTTACATAGTAATCATAATAACAATAATAATCATTCAAAATATGAACATATATTGAATTTGCGTTCAAATATCAATACACAAAACATTC